AAAGGCACATTGGTTGGTACTAGTGAGGAAGTGGATTGGTTGCGTCGATGCGAATATCTATCGACCGGGACCCCCAGCAAGGATGGACAAACGATAGTGACCACACTTTTGGAAGACTGTCGCAGCGTTCTTTCCCCGAATGAAATGGTCAAGGCGAAGAAGTTGTTACTCAAGTACGCCAATGTTTTCTCGTCAAACGAAGCTGACATAGGAAAGACTGGCTTAGTTCAACACAAAATAAACACAGGACAAGAATTGCCTATTCGTCAGCGGCCAAGAAGATTGCCTGTAGCACGTGAAAAGGAAGTGGAAACCATGATTGAGGGAATGGTGAAGGATGGTGTTATTGAACCTTCATCTAGTCCATGGTGTTCACCTGTGGTGCTGGTAAAGAAGAAGGACGGCAGCATGCGGTTTTGTGTTGACTATCGCCGCCTGAATGACATTACAAAGAAGGACAGCTATCCCTTGCCAAGAATTGATGACACGCTGGATATGCTTACAGGCGTAAAGTGGTTTAGTACGCTAGATCTGAAAAGTGGCTACTGGCAGGTTGAAATTGACCCTAAGGACAAGGAGAAAACTGCATTCTCCACAGGAAAGGGTCTGTGGCAATTCAAAGTCATGCCGTTTGGATTGTGCAATGCTCCAGCAACGTTTGAAAGGTTGATGGAGCTTGTACTTACCGGGCTAATTGGAGATGCTTGTCTGGTCTATTTGGATGACATCATCATCGTAGGCCGTACGTTTGAGGAAAACCTTCAAAACCTGGAACGCGTGCTCATGAAGATCCAGAGTGCCAACCTCAAGTTGAGTCCGAAGAAGTGCTCACTATTCGAACGGCAAGTTAGATTTTTGGGGTATGTAGTGTCGGAAGAAGGTATCCGCACGGATCCAGAGAAAATTGCTGCTGTCAAGGAGTGGCCGGTCCCAAAAGACAAGACACAGGTTAGAGCATTTTTGGGTTTGTGCTCTTATTATCGGCGATTTGTGAAGAACTTTGCAGATATAGCCAAACCTCTGCACAAGCTAACCGAGCAGAAGCGACAATTCTGCTGGGATGAAAGTTGCGATATTGCATTCCAGGAGCTCAAGAACCGCCTGTGCAAAACACCTATTTTGGGGTACCCTGATGCGGGCAAGGAATTCATAGTTGACACAGACGCAAGTGATATAGGACTTGGCGGTGTGTTGTCTCAACGGAATGGTGATCAAGAGATTGTGATAGCGTACTTCAGCAAGTCGTTGTCAAAGCCGGAAAGGAACTATTGTGTCACAAGACGGGAATTGCTTGCTGTGGTAAAGTCCTTGCAGCATTTTAGCAAATATCTTCTAGGGCGGAAATTCCACTTACGAACTGACCATGCTGCACTGAAATGGCTATTGCAGTTCAAAAATCCGGAAGGACAAGTTGCGAGATGGATAGAACTACTGCAGGAATACGACTTTGTGATCGAACATCGCAGCGGGAAATCTCATGGCAATGCAGATGCATTGTCAAGAAGACCTTGCCCTGAAGATTGCAAGCATTGTACTAGGCAAGAGGGTAAGGAAGTGGTATCTGTGAGAATGCTCAGGACAGACCAGCTCAGCAATGAGTGGAAGGACAGCCTACAACATGCACAGCAGGAAGATTCGGACATTAAGCCGATTCTGGAATGGATGAAGGGCAGTGCTCCTATGCCCAAGTGGAGCGACGTCTCAGCAATGAGTTCGACCACGAAAAGCTATTGGGCCCAATGGGACAGCTTGCTGATTCAGGATGGAGTCCTGTGCCGTAAATGGGAAAATGGTCGGGGAGACAGGTGTCATTTGCAAATGGTTGTCCCTAAGGCTAAAGTGCCGGATATTCTACAGCTGTACCATAGTGGTTGTTCAGGAGGCCACCTGGGAGTTAAACGAACTCTCCTGAAGATCCGAGAACGGTTTTACTGGGTCCACTGTCGTGACGATGTCGAGGACTGGTGCCGCAAATGTATAAGTTGTGCGGCTGTAAAGGGACCTCAAATTCGTAGTAGAGGCGCATTGAAATTGTACAATGTTGGTGCACCATGGGAGAGGATAGCCATTGACGTTGCGGGGCCGTTTCCAGAAACTGAAAGTGGTAACAAGTATTTCATGGTAGTGATGGATTACTTCACTAAGTGGCCAGAAGTCTTCGCCATTCCAAATCAAGAAGCTTCAACAGTTGCAGATAAACTAGTTCATGAAGTCTTCTGTCGTTTTGGAGTACCTTTAGAGATTCACAGCGATCAAGGAAGGAATTTTGAGTCTCAAATATTCCAGGAAACTTGCCGAGTTATGGGTACTCAGAAAACACGAACAACTTCTTACCACCCACAATCTGATGGAATGGTAGAAAGATTTAATCAGACATTGGAGAGGTACCTAGCAAAAGTTGTGGAAAAACGGCAACGAGACTGGGACAGGCACATACAACCGTTTTTGTTGTCATATCGAAGCGCTATTCACGAAAGTACATCAGTGACACCAGCTTTCGCAAACTTTGGGAGAGAATTGCGGCTGCCTGCAGACCTGATCACCGGAATACCACCTGATGCCCCACGCAGTATAACCGATTATGCAAATGACTTGCGGAACAAAATGAATGACATTTATGAGCACGTCAGACAGACGGGCCAGCAAACGTCTGAGAAGATGAAAACACGGTATGACCGCAAAATGAACAACAAGGGCTTTGATGAAGGTTCACTAGTGTGGTTACACAATCCAGTTCGCAGCAAAGGGAAATCTCCTAAGCTTCAAGCTAAATGGGACGGACCGTACCGGATTGTGACAAGGATCAATGATGTAACCTACCGGATACAGAAAGGTGCCAGAGGTACTCCTAAGATTGTCCATGTGGATCGACTGGCGCGTTATTATGGGGCCAATAATGCTCGGGACGAGCATATCTTAGGAGGGGGCAGTGTTACGCGCCACTATTAATGTCTTGTACATGGCAACACTAGTTACACTAGCGCCCCCTAGTGTCGAGTAAATGAAAGTATTGCGCGCCACTATTAATGTCTTGTACATGGCAACACTAGTCACACTAGCGCCCTCTAGTGTCGAGTAGCAGAACTAGGAGAGTCGAGATCCTTCCAGAAATTTCGGGACCGATATGTACTCGAACATTCTAGATGTCGCTACAGTAGAAGGTTCTGGAAACTATCTGAGGCCCTATATAAGACCGGTATAGACCACGACCGGGGCAGTATTGAATTGGCGATACAAGAGAATACTTCGAAGCGAAATAACGGCGAACTGTGTTTTATTATTAGTGTGATTTTTGATTGTAATTAGTGTTGTGTAATTAAAGTGTCAATTTTGGTAATTCAGTCGGCAGTTTTTAATTGTCTCGAACCCCAAGCTCGTAACAATATTATTGATAACAAATAAAAAAATTACTAGTGTCTATTAAAATGAAGTGTCATTTAAAATAATATTTTTTCATGGCAAGATAAGAAAAGTGCGAGGGAGATGGATATTATTCCATATCGCTTCCTTATAGTCACCAAGGCTGTTTACGCTACAACAGAAGGGGTCGTGACGGAAAAATCTTACACTTTTTCTTGCCTAGCCCCCATCCGCCAAATCCGTTCGGTCCGATAAGAACTTCGTTCTAATAATAATAATAATAATATCCTCCGGACCGAATTTCGGTCACGGCGGCCTGCCTCAACGGATACTAGCCATCGGCGCAGGACAGGATTATAGTGCCCAAGTGTATACGCAAGCACAAGTGCACCCTCTATTCCCTCACTCTCAAAGTCCGATGGGACGGTAAACCGATACGATGGGAGAGAGATCAGGCGCAGGCCAACGGCTTAACGTGCTTTCCGAGGCATGGGGGTGAGACACCGCCCACATCCTGACTCCGGGCAGCTACTGAGAATTTCTTGATGGAAAAGCTCAATAACTGATTTTTGGCTCAATCCGGGATTCGAACCCAGGTCTCATGATCAGCAGTTGCACTACTACAACTACTAGAGCAACGAGGCAATCAATTAAAATAGTTTCTAAAGTCAGTTTTAACTTTTTATTAAAAGTTTTATTATTTTATCCTTTTCAGTGGTCTAAGAACTACACAAGTTCAAGTCAACAACTAGAATATTGTTTAAAAAGGTACGTTAAAATCTTAGGGATGGAAATTATTGGTAAATTTATAAGAGGCTACTGTTGAAGCATTGATAGACGACCTGTGAGCCATATGGTTAAGATTGAGACGGTGATGTTCTATTTAATTAATTATTATCCATTGAATCGATTCAGCAATTCGCCTTATAATGTAACTTTTTCTAAGTCTTTTATGATATATTTCCTCTCTGTATTATTCTTTGTATTATGTGTAATCTGTCCGCAAGGGGGGTCTAGTTACCTGTATCTCAGGTTTTTAATATAAAATCTATAAAAGGCATCAGCCTCTACCGGTAAGGACCTACCGTTGTGAGATATTGTTAACCAGCCAGTAAGTTGTGAAGAGTGTGAATTGAATTTTCTTGCTTATTTTATTGTTTTTATAGTTGTAGTTGGACCCGCTTAAATTTGAGGGTCTTTAGGATGCTCTAAAGAATAAATTTAAGCATGAATAAATTTGCTGTAAATATAAGAAATTATCTCGTCTCGGTCGTAAGAAGCGACAGACGGAATCAGGAGATGGGCAGCAGCATCTTTCTTATAAAAATGTAAAATCATAAACCTATTTAATAAAAGAAGAGTTATTTAAATCAGTTCAGCCGTTTCCGAGAAATCGGTGACATAATATATAGTAAGACATACAAGTCGATTTCTATAATCCCCTTCTCGTTTTTTAACTACGTACGTACGTATCCTTCGGTGGCGCCACCCTTTGACACTAATTTCGACGCCGGTACCTTGGTAACGTTACAACAACCCTTGACAACGTCTCGTCAAAATTACTATCGCATTAAATTTTTTGGACTTCAGCTCTAATTAATAAATTGTATAAAAATTAAATACGGTTCTGGTGGTACATTATGACATCGGTTAGACGACCTATGAGTCAGATGAGGAAGCTCGAGACGGTAATGTCCTATTTAATTAACTAATTTCTAATTTAATATTTTATTATTTTCATAGTTGTAGCTACACTAGTAATATATAAGTCAATGGTTGTAGCTAAACCCGCCTAAACGTGATAATTATAAGACGTTTTAATGCATTGATTGAATCATCGTCTACTCTAAATATAATAAATTAAAAGATCAATAAAAACCCGCGTAAATAACATATAATTGTTGTAAAGAGTCAACGCTCCAGGAAGTTTGCAGTTTGTAATCACGTACAGGATCGTACCCGTCTTTAAATCAGATTAGATAGACCACAAATCGAAGTTATTGAAATCAAAAATTCTAATTTCAATAGAGAATATGGCTGGGTGCTACTATCTGCTTGTGATCCTGTGATTAATAAAATTAAATCCCTACCCAAGCATACAACCGCTGCGTAGATTGGATCAAAATTTTGTAATTCTAAACTGAAGTTAGCCGTGGTCAACTATGAAATTGTCGAACACCTCAGTCGCCCCGTGACCATGGCTGCTGTAATGTACTCGAAACTACTTGAAAAACGCATAAAATCCGTAAAAACTAATTTCATTTAATAAAAAAATATCTAATTCTGTCTAACACATTATTATTTAAATATTTTCTTTAATATAAACAAGCTGTAATACCCTAATTCACCCCCTCAGTTGTGAATTTCCCAAAATCCTTTCTCAGTGGAGTGTAAATTTATGCCAAATTACAAATCGATCGGGCGTATAGTTTTGGATATCGTAATATACATATATATTTATAGAATAGAATAGGGTGACAAACGAGCACACAGTCAACTGATGGTAAGTGCATGCCCATAGACATACTACATCTATCTTCGATTACTATGTGTCTTTTGTAGCACACACAGTAATCGAACATTGGTAGAGCCATGTTGCAGCTATATTGTGGTTGCAACACGAATGGGTCGGCTCGCCCGGGGGTAGGACCACGCTCTCACAGAATACCAACGTAAAATAGCAGCTTAATGCTGCTGTGTTTAGTATGGTGAGTGTAGAGAACCGGAGACCCTTTTTACTGGAAACGATGCATTCTATCTCAGTCCTCAAGGGTGGCAACGCATCTGCATTTTGATTTGTAATTGAGGATAAGTGTAGATGTCTATGGGCCACAGCATCCACTTACCATCAGGTGGACTGTGTGCTCGTGTGTCACCCTTATTCTATAAAAAAAAGGCATTTAAACTTAAACTGTGGCGTAAGACAATTCATAATCCCACTGTGTATATGGGTCCCACTGTGTTATAGGCGCTTATGGGAAGTCATAACCGCAACCAATTATATTAAAAACACGGAACAGAGTCAATGTAAGCCAGACATAACCTTCCTTACTCCCGTGAGGTGAATATGCGTTAATGACGCATCATTAAACATGTCCCATGTAAAAAAGTTAACCCTTAAATATTCATTCTTGCTTATATTTCTTGAAGAAGTCCCGCTGGTTTTCTTACTGGTTCTTCCCGGTATAAGGGATTTTTCCGAACCAGTGGTAAAGCTTGGATGACTTTCAATAAGTATGATTCTTGTAATCCATCTTAATATATAAAAAATAATGTTTGTTCGTATTTTATACGCTGCTATACCGTTCTTTTTTTTCCTAGTTTGGCAACTTTCAATGGATTCTGCCAGCGTCAAGTATTTCATGAGAGTCACACAGAGTATTCGACTAGTTTCTGTTTCCGTAGATGCGATTACTTAGCCTTATGTTACGAATTTACTTATATAGTTATTTTCGAATGAATAAACATTATAATAGTTTTACAAAATTATTGCTAATATAATAAAATGGATATAGGTAAGTCGCAAAAGTAGGTACTATAGTTTAATGTTATGGATATGAAGTCTAATAAGGTTTGTACAAAATGAGTCTAAACTAAATTTAACAAAGACTTAAGATTTATAGGACGAGGGATGTTATTAGAATGAAAAGCTATACCGTTTATCAGATGGCGCTAAAACTTTGACACTATGCTTGCACTTGTGCGAAGGTTATAGGCATAGTACAAATAACTTACACTAGCTGGCGCGCGTATCGTACCAACAAATTAATTGGAAAGTCATATATCATTCAATTTCAATAAATGTATTATCATTTCTAATTAAACAGTATAACTCTTCCAAATTTAAAACGATATTTCCACAATTATTTCTTCTGCGGTAGCAATGCGCCAGATATCTGCTAGTATTGGATAAAAATGATTCTGTTCTATTTTATTATATTCTAATAACCTCTCCTTACACCCGTTACCTGCGAAGGTTATGCATGCTCACGAAAAAAAGTTAAATACTTTAATATTCCTATCTACTTGTTTATATTTCCAAATAGTTTGGAAATCCAAAAGTGCACGCATCATGAGCGTTTTTTTTTTAAATCTTTTAAACGTTTATGAGTCTGATAATGACCTGCAATAGGGTTCATCCTGAGGATAAATGAAAACTTATTGAGAAAGATTTATTTCATTTCGTTGCGTATATTTTTCTGAATTGTGAAGACAAACAAGTTCAAAGACTGACAGCCGTACTAATCATTTTAACTACATTTTTTGTAAATATAACTATAAAAGTAAAGTAAAGTTACAGCCTAATTATGTCCCACAGCTGGGCACAGGCCTCCCCTCATTTCTGAGACGGTTTTAAGGCAAGGAAGTGTCTGCCGCGCTGCGTGTTGGCGAACTTCACATGTCTTTCCAAATATTTTTTTTCTTATTCCTCAGACATGCAGGTTTCCTCACGATGTTTTATTTCACTGCCAAGCACGTGGTAAATCAGCACTTAAAATTGCAATTTACAATTTCATTGGTGCCGGCGGGGATCGAACCCGGTTTGCTCGCATACTGTGAAATTTACAGCGAGCGCTAACCATCTGAGCTACCACGGCTCTAATATAACTATACAAATGAATAAAAAAAAATACTGACTTTATAACTTAATATTTGTAGTTTTCAAAACATCGTTTACACGTGGTAGAGCCATGCTGCAGCTATATTAGTAGTATAGTTGTAGCACGAATGGGTCGGCTCGACCGCGAAAGGACGACGCTCTCACAGAATACCAGCGTAAAATAGCAACCTACCACTGCTGTATCGAATTTTTGATTTAATTTCGTATGGTGAGTGTAGAGAACCGCAGACTCTTTTTACTGGAAACGAGGCATTCCACCTTAATCCTCACGGGTGACAACGCATCTGCATTTTGATATGTAATCGAGGATAGATGTAAATGTCTATGGTCTACAAAAATCACTTACCATCAGGTGGACTGTGTGCTCGTTTGTCACCCTGTCCTATAAAATAAAATAAATAAATAAAAATATCCCTTATTTATTAATTTAGTGTCTAATTTTTAACATACTAACAATTTTATATTGCAAAATCGTCACATAGCGGCATGTCGAGAGTAGAACACTCCCACACACGCGCGCGTTGTGAGACGTGCAATGCGAGTATACAATTTTTCCAAAAGAAACAGGATTTAATTCAGTTCTTTAAGTGTTCTACCCAATTCCTAAATTCAAAAAATGTTTTGTTCTACGTAATGATCCATTTTATTACGAGGTGCATGCAAATACAGTGTAAATTACAAACTATTCATTCAGCAAATTACGACGGCTTAAATAGAAAAATACTTTAAACGGTTCAGAAATTGTTGAACTTGTATTTTGTTTAATAAAACGGGTTTTCATGCACTTTATTTACTGTAAGACGGTTGGGATTAGAAAACGATGCGTTTTTAAATAAACACGATATTACAATTTTTTATGCAAGTAGATAATCGAGAACCCATTATACCTGATAAATACTAACCTTGACAATTTCTCACGTTAGAAAGAATGTTAGGCCTTTTTTTACAATTGAGATATATGAGATCTATATCTATCTTCGATTCTGATGATGAAGATGACCAATGTCTATCTATCCTTGATTAAGAATCAAAATGCAGATGCGTTGTAACGTCTGAGCACTAACATGGAATGTCATTACCATGCGAAACACAGGGGCAATGTGTTGGTATTTTATGCTGGTATTCTGTGAGAGCGTAGTCCTACCCCGGACGAGTCTATCCATTACAACTGTAGGGTGGCTCAACCACCTATATGGAAACCATATACGATCCAGTTTACCGTCAAGTTTGCAGCGCGTCCGGTAAACTTGACGGTGTATGTGTATCAGTGTGCATGACAAGTCCACTTGAAGCAAAAATTGAATTTCGATTCTGCCGACTTGACTTGATCAAGTGTGCAGCGTCATGTAAACTTGAACGTGTGTATTAGCGGTCAAGTATGCATGATGTTGTCGGACCAATAAGCCTAGGATGGCTAACGCGTCGTCGTCCGTCATTAGTGACACTGTGGTTTCAAATGGTGCGGCATCATGCAAACTAGACGGCGAACTTGAGCGTGAGTGGTCTATATGGATGCACTGCAAGCTGGATGCCACTTTAAGCGCGCTGCAAACTTGACGGTAAACTGGATCGTATATGGCATCTAATCGTAATAATATGTATTATGTTAAAGTACCGACATAGCTCAACAGATTAGTAAGCTGTAGTGGCAATGGGCTAGTCACATAGCTCGAATAACCGACAACCGATGGGGTAGAAAGATTTTCGAGTGGCAACCTCGTATCGGTAAGCAAAGTGCAGGGCGGCCCCCAACTAAATTGAATGACGATCTGGTAAGATATGCAGGAAGTCGATGGATGCAGGTGACTCAGGACCGTGCTTTGTGACATTCCTTGAGGGAGGGCTATGTTCAGCAGTGGACTTGTAAAGGGGTGTAATGATGATGATGGTGATGTAATCTATTTAAACATACCTTTGGAAGCATTAAGATTGCGATCCGTTAACAATTTGCCTGTCGTCTTTCAACATTTTCAGTTAGTGGTTATAGTTTAGGATTTATAATCACATGTAGTCGCAGTGTAAGAATATCCACTACCCCATATCATCCCGTGGGTGGCGTAAGAGGCGACAGAGGGAAACTGTACCAGGAGATGGGCAGCATCATCTTCCTGACAACAACTAAAAATCATAAAAAGCTGCTGTCATCAACCTGCCTGCCAAGCGTGGACACTACGGCAAAATTAACCCTATAAAGACAATTATAGGGGAGACTTACGTTCAGCAGTGGCCTTAAGCTAATGATTATAAAGGAATAAAACGCGTGTTTTTGTTACAGAAGGAAGCGTTGTTCCGCAACAGAAAACGTGTACTCAAATACTTGGTGTTGGGCTATCTGAAGCAGGAGGGATTCCTACACACTGCGGACACATTTTGCAACGAAGCTGCCCTCACCAACGAGTATGAACTCTGTGACAATATTGACTTGGAAATAATACTTCAGGTAAACAGTTTTATTTCTAAAGTAAAGTAAATTAAAATGACAGCCTACTGCAGGTCTCCACTGAAGTCTGAGTAGGTTATTTAAAAGAAAAAGTGACAAACTTACATTCCACCTGATGGTAAGTCGTTACTACAATCCATGGACAACTGCAGACCACTTCAAACAACTAAGGCATCAGATGCGTTGCCACCTGCGGACTAAGACAATGCCTCACAGTCTGTAAATACTGACGATACTAATACGGACTTTAGTTTTATAAAAAGGTGGTGGAGTGGCACTACTACGTCATCATCATTACAGCCTTTCATAAGTCCACTGCTGAACATAGGCCTCCCCCAAGGAATGCCACAAAGCACGGTCCTGAGCCACCTGCATCCATCGACATCCTGCATGTCTTACCAGGTCGTCACTCCATCTCGTGGGGAGTCGCCCTACACTTCGCCTACCGGTACGAGGCTGCCACTCGAGAACCTTTCTTCCCCATCGGTTGTCGGTTCTTCGAGTTATATGGCCGGCCCACTGTCACTTCAGCTTACTAATCCGTTGGGCTATGTCGGTTACTTTGGTTCTACTGTGGATATACTCATTTCTAAGTTTATCACGCAGAAAAACTCCGAGCATAGCCCTCTCCATAGCTCGTTGAGCGACCTTGAACTTCTTCATACGGCCAGCAGTGAAGGAAAATACGTAATGAAACATAAATTTGGAGGCAGAAATAGGTAAAAGACCCGCATGGATTCCTCGACAGAAGAGCAGTTCTAAGTCTAATCTATTTAACATAATATTAAAAAGATAGTGAACGGCAGAGTCGGGAAGGGACACCCTAGATGAAAGTTTATCGACCAAATTGGCGATATATTGATAATGGACCAAATAAAGATTACCCTTAACTGACGAGTGTGTATGCGTAGGTGCATGATTTTTTTTTATAGGATTAGGGTGACAAACGAGCACACAGTCCACCTGATGGTAAGTGATTGTGAATTTTTGGTTCGATTTAAAAAATTAATATAAAAAAACTGAAGGTAGCCGAGCTAACTATGACAGCAGGACGTCAAACACCTTAGTCCCCCGTGACCACGGGTGCTGGAAAGCACCCGAAACGTCGGGAATATAAAAATAAGTTAATATACGCTAAAAATCCGTAAAATTAGTTTTATTTAAATGTGTAGTGTTCGCGTAAATATAAGAAATCATTAATTAAAAAATCTCAAACATTTTGTCCTTTTTATCATTTAATATATCGTGGTAATGCATTTTTTAACTGATTTTACAGCGCACGCACACATTCATAAGGGTCTACCGGTAGGCAAAAACGTTGTTGCCCATAAATCACATTGAATTTGGGATAATTTCAAATAAAAGTAGAAGCCTTATTATTTACTCGTATTTTCAAAACGGTATATCATTATTTATATATTTGAACTTAAGTTTAGTTAAGGCTACTCATTGAAAAAAAAAAACTTGAATATATGTATATGTATTATGAAAGTATTTTTATTATAAGGTGATTTTTTTAAACTTCAGTGGCTAAAGATATCGAATTGTTGTAATCAACTTTACCATATTTTATCTGTGTTAAATCGTTTGAACACAGCAGGTGTATGCTTACACGCCGTGTTGCATCGTCGCTCAACCAGAGAGAGATCTCTTTCCACGCGAATAGAACCGTCCGGCAGCCATGACACACCATATACGTATCACAACAGCTCGCTTTACATTTGTTTTGTGATATTTTTATGTGCGAAAACAAAAATTCACTGCATTTTATTTGAAGTAGGGATGTAACAACACATTATTTTGCCGATGCGATATCGATATCTTTTTTCAACGTGGTAGAGCCACGCTGAAGCTATATTATGGTTGTAGCACGAATGGGGGTCGGCTCAACCGAGGTAGGACCACGCTCTCACAGAATACCATCGTAAAATAGCAGCTTAATGGTGTGTTTCGTATGGTGGGTGTAGTGAACCGGAGACTCTTTTACTGGCAACAAGGCATTCCTTCTTAGTCCTCAGGGGTGACAACGCATCTGCTTTTTAATTCTTAATCGAGAATAGATGTAGGTGGACTGTGTGCTCGTTTGTTATCCTTACTCTATGAAAATATAAACAAACACCTAGACACGAAGCAATTATTTGTTGGCTATACAAACTTTTGCTCCTTACGGGATTCGAACCCGCGGCATCGCAGCGCGAACCGAAACGGTTAGTCGCTGCGCTACCGTCGCATAGCCGTTACGATTTTCTGATCATCGGCTTCGACCATGCCTGTACATTTTTATATTGGGTTTGAAAACATTGGGATTTTCTTCTGTATCGTGTATAGTTTACATATTATGTACATAATATTATGTGCATATGTTAACTACATATCAACTTATGTAAGTTGAACGAGGACACACATATTGACCCGCATTATAGAACAAAAAGGTATTACGTGCGCCGGTTAGGTAGGTATATTATAATCTGTTGTTTAGAGACGACGTAAGATAATCCATCATCTACGTTTGTATCCTCGGGAGTCACAATATTCGACTATTAGAAATGCAAAATAAATCTCATGGCTTCCGATTAGGGTTGCCAGATGGTCGGGATTCGTCTGGATTCTCCCGGCACTTTAAACGATCTCCAGACTCCCGACAAAACTCAAAAACTCCAGACAAACAGCTTCTCGGAAAATTAACGTATGACCTTTGATTTAAAAGCTGAGTTAGTAATTAGACTGACCTTTGAAGTAAATTGTTGAAATTTCAAAACTTTTCTGAATACTAGACTAAAGGATCCAAATTGCTTGACTCTAGTAAAGTCCAATGTTAATATAATTGTTGCAAGTGTACTTGAATTAGTTTTGTTTAAAGTACTTTTGGTAGCCTATTAATATATTTAAAAAAAAACTTATTATTTTTAATATTTATTTCTCCCGATAACAACTCCAAAATCCCGAGATTTCCAAAATTGGTCAAGATATTTTGGTCTTCGGATTTGGCAAACCTACTTCCGATAGGTGGCGCTGTAATAATTTTTATGGTTCGGCAAGATTGACATGCTTGTGGGGGCGAGTCTGCTCTCGGCAACAATAAAATCTAAAACATTTTAAGCTAATTTCATTTTGTAATAAGGTCCAATTATTAGTGGGTCTATTCACTCCCATTATCATTAAAAAAATGCCAAGAAAGAGGATAACCGCAGAGTGTCTCACGCTGTTTATTCACCGGACAGAGGGACCTAATTTTATATACGGCACAGTCAAAACCTATAGCCGGTCAAAACCACTTTTGACTGCAAATAATCAAGCAAAACTAGTCTTGACTAAGGATGTTGGTCAATACCACTTTTAACTGATTTTTGCAGTGAAAACTAGTTTTGACTAAGGACGTTGGTCAAAAGTAATTTTGCCTCGTTTAAAGTTCAGACTATCGGTGAAAACTTGCAGTATCAAGGACAGTAGGTTAAGGTACGGCTGGGGTGGGCCTTGGGCCACCCTAGAGCCGCGTACATTATAATGATATAAAATATAATGTTGAAGGAATTTAACTTTTTAATTTCAAGAATTCAAAAAGTTTTGACTAATATTCTTGTTCAAAACCACTTTTAACCGATGTAATGTGGTCAAAACTACTATAACCCAATATTTTTGCAGTTAAAAATGGTTTTGACCAACATCCTTATTCAAAATTACTTTTGCCCGATTATTAGCAGTCAAAAGTGGTTTTAACCGGTTATGAGTTTTGACTGTAGCATATATAATTTTATGTATAGCAAACTGACTTTATATATAAAAGAAGAAAATACGTTTCGTAAATTTATTAAATAAGTAAAAGAGTTGCTTCTTAATAAAGCTAATGTACTGTCAATGAGTACGTAGAAGATAAAACGCTTTAGATATCTTCCATATTCCTCCATATTCCACATTCCATTTTTTTTTTATAGAATAGAGGTGACAAACGAGCACACAGTCCACCTGATCGTAAGTAGTTGCTGTAACCCATAGACATCTACATCTATCTTCGTTTGCGAATTAAAATGCAGATGCGTTGTCAGACGTGAGGATTAAGATAGAATGCCCCTTTTCCAGTAAAAAGGGTTTCCGATTCTCTACACTCACCATACGAAACACAGCAGTATTAAGCTGCTATTTTACGCTGGTATTCTGTGAGAGCGTGGTCCTTCCCCGGTCGAGCCGACCCATTCGTGCTACAACTATGGTATTAATGTAGCTGCAGCATGGCTCTACCACGTATAAAACAACTACAACAACACTAACATACGAGTACACATATTGCACATGTGTATTTTAGTGTTGTGTAATGTTTATATAGTTACAATGTCACATGTAATGCACATATTAAGATCTCTTTTTTGCTACTAACAATATGGATTAAAGTGAAATAAATTTATTTTAGCTTTATTTTATTTTATTTATTAAATAAATAAAAAACTACAAGTTACAAACGAATATTTTTATGTCTAAAAATAAAGCGACTTTATTTCATTATAATCTATTACACCTACGAGGTCGTTGAACATATCCAGAAAACTCATTTAAATTTTTTGCACATTTGTGTTTATGCAAAATAACTTTTGTACAAATATTATTGCCATAATTTATTTAACATTAAATTGGCTCCATTTCTACACGGAAGAAAACAGCTATAAATTAAGTATTAAAGCTATCAACAGGACAGTTGCGGTTGCACTGAATGATATTGATAATTTGTTTATGCCTGTTCACACTTTTCAACCGACCGTAAATATGAAGTAGTCTCGGTTTAGTGATACAAAAATCATTACTACAATATCATTATATAAGAATATGCTTTTGCATAAAAAATAAAGGCAGTCTTCAAGGAACTAAAGAGAACTAAATAATTACCACGTAGGTAAATGATTCTGAAGTCAATGCTAAGATAGACCTCAGTATAGAGGTCTTAGATATTTTATACGTGGTAGAGCCATGCTGTAGCTATTTTATTAGTAGTTGTAGCACGAATGGGGCGG